TTTTTTTTTTTTCTTTTAATATGTAGGCCAGGATTATGCAACTGTTCTTTTTCTCTATATATGCGTAGATTTTTATAGCTATATGGTCCTACTTTTTTTAGTAGGAACGTGCTAATTAGATCCATTGAGTATATATGAGTAGTGCTTTTCTGTTATAAGTGCCTATATATATTTATTTTAAATAACAAATTAATATAAATACTAATACATATAAAATAAATATAGTAATGCAGGAATAATATAAAGCAATTTATTTTATTAGATATTATATAATGTAAGAACGAATTAAGTGCTTGGTATGTTTTGGCATATATTAGGCACGCGTTCATGTTGTCGCAATTCTTAGGGGTTCAATGGAAAACGGGGGGGGGTTCCATGTTTTGAAGAATAAGAACTTGTATATATGCACTAACACTTTATTGTTTTAGTTTGAATATAATAATGGAAGTCCATGGCAGGAGATAGATCATTTATATTCAGGGTATGATGGAATTCTTTCCGGGCTTAAGGGTTTGGGTTTTCACGTTTAAATATACTTTTCTGTTCAACATGATAGGGTATTTTATTTAAAATATTTTAATAATGTGTTCATCATATATCAGGTAGAAATCTGTAGGCCCTTCAGAGGGTAAAAAATAATATTGTAGCAAAGGGTAATGTGTAACGAGCACGAGTGCAAAAAGGTTGTAATGATAGACAATAATAATATGCAGCATGGTAATATATAGAGAATGTTACACTTATTTGTTAAATGAATGCACATAAGCGGAGCACTTGCATGATGTTTCTGCTGTAAGAAAGGTGTTACGGGGTTTATGCACCTGTGTTTCCCGTGTTGTATTAATGTGATATATAGGGGCTTATATATTATCTCAGGATCTATATGCAGGGGAGCTTACATATATTTTTATTATATGATAATTTTTCCTCTTTTTGTGTTTGCGATAAGAATGCATGCAATCTGATACATGTTGATACGAAAAATATATAACAACTAAACATCAAGATGTAGTAGGACCAGCTACATCGTTTAATAAAACTGAGGTTTCAAGGACGCCTGCGGCACCTGTGAGAATGAAATGCATTATAGCAACATCCATTATGGAAGCACTTGTCACAAGAACAACGCATACACGCCCTCTTCCTTTTTCCTGGTGGTCCCTCAAGCTTCTCAAATATTGTGTAATAAATTATCCACATATACCTTCTTCTCCTGCAAACTGGCTGCGACCTCGCATTGATCTATAACAGTCGCAAGGACGGGCATGCACATTTTGGTCCTTAATGGGTTGTTTTTGTAAGGTTCCGTATTCAGTTGTGAGCCTGGTAAATCATTTGTGTAGAGCTTGTTTTGCTTCCAACGCATGTTCCTCTTCTAATATTTTCTGCACTTGTGGCACTTGTTCTGTTCCAAATGTGATCGATTTTTCCTGTACTGTGGGTGTGTCGCGCACTATTCCCAACCAGGGCTTAGGGTTGAGGGTGCAGGGTTTAGGGTTCAGGGTGTAGGGTTTAGGGTTCAGGAATGTAGGGTTCACGGTTTACAGGTTCCGGGTTTCATGGTTTCGGGTTTAGGGTTCATGAATGTAGGGTTCAGGGTTTAGGCTTGAGGGTTCAGGGTTTAGTGTTGATGGTTCAGGGTTTAGTCTTGAGGGTTCAGGTTGTAGGGTTTAGGCTTCGAGGGTTTAGGGGTTCAGGCTTTAGGGTTCAGGGTTCAGGGTCCCGGGTTTAGGGTTAAGGGTTTAGGGTGTAGGGTTTCAGGGTTTAGGGTTTAGGGTTTAGGGTTTAGGGTTTCACGGTTTAGGGTTTAGGGTTCAGGGTTTAGGTTTAGGGTTTAGGGTTTAGGGGTTTAGGGTTCAGGGTTTAGGGTTCAAGGTGCAGGGTTTAGGGTTCAGGGTTTAGGGTTCAGGAATGTAGGGTTCAGGATGTATGGTTTAGGCGTTAGGGTTGAGGCCTGATGGTTCAAGGTTCAGGGTTTAGAGTTCAGGGGTTCAGGGGTTCAGGGTTTAGGGTTTGGGATGCAGGGTTTAGGGTTTAGGGTTTCAGGGTTCAGGGTCCCGGGTTTAGGGTTAAGTGTTTAGGGTTTAGGGTTTAGGGTTTCAGGGCTTAGGGTTTAGGGTTTAGGGTTCAGGGTTTAGGGTTCAGGGTTTAGG